AGCTTGCAACAAAAGGAAACGTTGAAGATCCGATAACGTATATGTTGATATGGTCAATCTGGCAATTTGAGTCGATTTAGCAATGTCTGTCTGTATGTCCGTATATGCTCCAACTAGTGATTCAGTTTTTGAGATATCGCTTTGAAATTTTACAAATGCCCTTATTTCCCAAAGCTTCTACTCTTTTGTCAGAATTGTCGCTATCGGATCTGCATATATAGCATATAACTGTCATACAGGCTGAACGATCGGAATCAAGTGCTTGTATAGAAAACCTCGGTCCCAAGTAGTCYATGCTTCTATCAACTTTTCATCATCTACTAATAATCAGCAATCCTCTCAAATAGCAAAAATTTGCAATCTTTATCGATATTCCCTTCTCACACCCTTTAGCTTCCATTACGATTATCGATAAATCCTCGCAGCCTGGCTACATATAGATTTAAATTGAAATCAGTAAATTCCAAATAMATTCGACGAATATCGGCTCGCATAATCACAATACAACATCAAGTAACGACAATAACAATAATCTAAGCAACAACAACACTACAGATGAGCCTCATAAAAACAGGCAAAATGAAATACGAAAGTCGGCTGGCTGGCGCAGCATGATGTGCCGAGTATATTGATGAAATTCAATACTGTAAAATTGACGAAAACAATTGAATTGATTCGGGAACTGCATGAAAACAAAAAAATAACAGCAGCAACAATAAGATCTGCTTTATTGGCGCAAGCACGATAATAACAATCGGAGAAGAGCTGGATAGCTATGATAGTAAAAACCAAAAGGTGGTTGACGTTCGAATGTAACCGAAGTSTTTTTATCAGACGAAAATTTCTGTCGTATTTCGATTATGGAATTTCAGTCTCTTTTTAGTAACTATTTTATATTTAAGATTTCTSAAACTCCTTAGAAATTATTATTCTATAGAAACTAGTTATGTACTTCTATGGATCCACTTAGTTAAATTTTTGAACCTCAATAACCTGAACATACCAAGGATGCATGGTTTTGTTAGTAAATAGTTACATGGATGAACAGGAAGTTTTAGTCTGAAATAGTGATTTATTTGTGTCCATATCCCAGCTTACGCGAGGTGGCCTCAATCTCTATGTTATATGAAAATGTTAAGGTGTTTACTAGCCAATATATAGTACATGTCCTCTCCTTACCTCCGTAGTCCGCAAATCTACGCTTCATTAACTCACGACTACCAAATAAAGACTGTTCTGTCCCCTGGCGGTGAATTAGGGCTAAAGAAGACAATTTGTGATGATATTAAATTGAAGAAGACGAATTATCTGTTGTTTTATTTGCATCTGCTTAGGAGTGGCTCAGAAGCTTTCTCTCTCAGTATTTAATAGACAATCCTAAATTTCGTAGAACACTCATCCTGCTCAATGCTTTTTATGTCTCTCGAGGACTTCATGGGGTCTTCTTCGGCTTCACCAATCTCATTTTCCGACGTTAGGTGGTCTGCAGCATCGGCCTATGACTCGTAGGTCATGATCTTCACTTTCGTGAATTCGTACTTGATCTCTTCGGCACTTTTCGAAAACGATTCTATGGATTTCTTTGTTAGTATCATCAGAAACTGCATCTGGGCCTTTCTAGTCCCCAAATTTTGATTTGTCTCTGGCATTAACCGGCATCTGTGCATGACGTTGGCGCACCTGGATTGCTTAATACTTAGCACTCCCGTTCTAACCTATCGCCGGCATTAGGATGAACTTGAACCAAAGAAAAATTTACGATATGTATTCACCGGTTATTGTTTGATAGGCTTAGGTCTACGAAGTCTCAAGAAGAAAAATTCATTTAACTTTTTCAAAGGTTTAAGGTTCAGCATATGGCTACTTCGTAAGGAATGATGGTCATAAGCTTAGAAACATTACAGCGTTCTACCAAATGAAAGTGGAAGATCTAATTCTCTCGAGAAAAATTTAGCGTTTCACATTGAGAGTTTTAGTTTGAGGGTCATCTTCAGTTGGACCTTTGTTTAGAAAAKTAGACAGGAGGGCAAATTATATGGATCCACCAGTGGATAGAAAATAGAGAATTTCTCTGGGTGTCGAAGATTTTCAAACAATTTCTATGTCAAGGTGTTCTTTTTAAASTTATATCTTAACTAAAAATTTTTCTAGGCATCCGCTTAAGTTAAAAAGGAAGAAAGAAAAGCAAGATTCGCATTCTCCTTAATTTTTTGTTCGAAATATTTTTYTGAGATACCTATCGCCTTTCTTAAGGGGCTATTCTACTCTAGAAATAAAATTTTATCAGCCTTTTGAATTTTATTTATAAAAAAGAAACCAAAAATTTGTTTACTATACATWTTTTATGGTGTTTTTATTGATATCTTAAGAATACAGAAACAAAATTTTACAAAAAAAAAAAATATTTAAACTTAAAATAATTATAAGGGGGAGAGGGGGGAGAGACAGGTGAAAAAAAAATGGCGCATCCTGGTAACATTGCTACTGACTCTCCTGGTGGTCTGAAAAAAAAAAAATAAATCAAAAGAAATTCTGAATCAGTAAGGATGCTGTTATAGTCCCTATTTCCGGGAACACGATTTTTTTTTTTTTTTGAAAAATGTCGACTGCCTGAAAATTAAAATTATTTTTTATGCTTTTTTTGGAAATTCCTGAGTTTATTTTTAATATTTAAAACAAAGGAAAGAAAGATAAAGGATTTTATAAAGAAGGTTCGCACAAAATTTCAAGTAAATCGGTTGTATAGAACTTGAGATAATGCCGGTACCGTGTGGAAAAAGGTAGTTTCGAGAAAAACGCGTTTAAAAAAGTGAGTCTACCTACCTACCGGGCTGGGTATTGCGTCACTAAAGTAACTGTAGCTCTTAAAATAATTTTAATTTTTCAAAATACTTTGGAGGATATGTTCTTAAGGGTCTAAACTTTAAATATATGAAAAGAAATAGAATTTTTCAAAATTSTAGAATAGAATACCCCTTAATACTGCCAAAATGAAAGTTAAATGATACAAAGAAGAATAGTATCAGTTAAACACGGGTTTAACCCCAACAGACAAAAGGTAGAGTAGGCGTAGGAGGAGATTGTGTTGCAACAGCAGCAAGTTAGCGGCAACGACCGATCCATAATCGTAATAAAGAACAAAAAATACTTGAAACATCATACACAAGAATATTAACARCAAYAATAGCGAGAGTCATGCGCGGTAAWTGAAGGCACAATGAAAACTCAGCGGCGCGCCAAGCAGTTGCCAGAACTGAACGCTAAATGGGACATGACTATCCGAGTAGATGCAGAGGAAGTAGAGCAGCAGGCTAAAATGCTCGAAATTGTCTGCCAGAACGGGTGCGAAGGAACCCCATTGACCGGCGAAGACGAATTATTGGCGCGCGCACGTTTGCCCTCATAAAGTTTAAGACGCTTGCGAACTAGTTTTTCGTATTTCATTATATGCAGTCGTGAAATACGCAAAATTTTAAGCGAACTATATTTACGTCTCTAGATACCAATTACATATGTATATGTACCCCAGGAGATTGCTCTTATTACTGTGTTAAGTCATCATAGAACAGCTTTTTCCAAAAGATTTTATTGAACCTTTACCGAACGGACAATACTTGAATAGACACAAGTTCGGGTCTGTGTTGACGCCGCCCGCGCCTAATCTTTCCGATACATAGACCTTACTGTACTGGAAACGTTGAGAGTCGACAGTTTTTCTGCCATCTTGGAGACATTAGTAAACTCAGAGGAACAGTAAAGTCAGACTGCTTTAAAACTGGAGTTGATATCCTAATTTTTTTTTGTTTTTTGTAGTTTGCGAACGATTATGATGATATTATTTCCCATTGATAGCATCAAGGCTTCTGATGATAGCCGAACTACTTTGAAAATCACACACGAAGGAAAGACGAAATTGATTCGTGCTAACGTTGTTATAAAGATCCTCTATCTGTAAAGAACAGAAATGATGTCTCCTTCAATTTTCGATGACTCGTTCGAGCATTTCGACTGGTAACTGGCGAATGACACGAATGATAGCCTGAATCGAAGTGGTATTGTCCGCATAGACTCTTTACTTTACATTTTCCAACATTAAAAGTTCTAATGATATGATATCACATGATCTTGATGGCCAATCGACCAGCCCAAAACGTGAAATTATCTCCTCAACGAAGTGTTCTCTCAATAAATCCGTTGATTAATGCGATGTGTGTCAAATGGTTGGCTATCATGAAGAGATAACGGCCACCATTGGCAGTTACGCTCTCACCGGCATCAATTTTGAAGAAATGTTAACCAATGATTCCACCGGCCTAAAAATTACGCCAAACCATTGTTTTTCGCGATGAAAAGACAGCTCTTGACTCATTTCAGAAATGGACCTCATCGCTGAACAAAATTTGGTTCGAAAATATCGGATCTTCTTGGAACTTTTCGAGAGCCCATAGAGTGAAGCGATATCGTTTGGGAGGGTCATGCGAATTGGAGAAGGATTTTATAGCTCTGGTGCAAAAGAGTCAACGACAAGGTTCGAAAAAGTGTTGCAAAATACCATGCCTCTCAAACCTCTCACACAAACGCAAGGCTCCCCCAACTACATATTGCCTCAGCGCAATCGAACACGTTTCTCCCCAACCGCACAATTACATCGATAAAAATTATATATTCTCTGGTTTTATGTTCTCGGCGTGAATGAACCGAGCCGCAAGTAACATACGCCAAACAGAATGCTGTGCACATATTAACAGCCGCTCTATCTGGCGTCAGCGTAGCCATGCGCGTCGACTACAGCCGCCAACATAGCCGAACAGCATGTGCCTCACTGCGCTTGCCGAATGAGTGCAGAACAACCGCCTGACTTGCCCAGCTTTTCCACACAACATTTATGCTGTTGCTGCTGCTGATTTTGTTTTGGCTAGCTGGCTCTGCTGACTTAGCTTGCTTAGCTGTTTGGTTACTTTTGGGAGCGCGCATGCAGTGCAGTCTTCGTTTCGCCGTTATCCGCGTTGGTTCGTTGTCAAAGGTTTACTGATGACTGTCGTCGTGTTAGCGCATTGCTCCTCTCGAGTGCAGTGAGTGTTTTTATATATACATACACACCAACAAAGAGCACAGCCGCTGCTGTTGGTGACAGGTGCGTGTGTGTCAGCAACAAATAAAACATGGAAAAGGTGGAAAATAATTCTGAAAKAAATTTCAAACAATAATGCCGAAAAGTCGCGTAATTCTCGAGGAGTTTTTTTTTGTTTTTTTTGTTTTTTTTTTTTTTAATTTTTGAAGTTTTATCAGAAATCTCCTTGTCCAATATTTTTTATGTACGTTTTTTGTTGTTGTTTTTTGCCAGTAACTCGACGTAAAAGACCAGTGAAGCAGCAAAGAAGTAGCTAATCAGCCGGTGTGTCGCTTCAATCAGTTAGTCAGCAGTAAGTAGTGTTAAAAAATCTGTCATACTTTGAAGAAGCTCCGAAATTTGCTTAAAAAGTTGTGAATTTTATTTTGGTTATGGCATTGGCAGTCGAGTAAAGCATGTGGCTAATGAAAATTGTAAAAAGAGAAAATAAAGAAATTACTTTTCTAAAGCGTCGCACTGCACAACCGATTGACTCATCCTTCAGCTGAACTGTGGCGCGAATTTGTGGGAGAAAGCGTGCAAAGCGGCTGAAAAGCGGTTCAAAAAAAAAAAAAAAAAAAAAAAAAAAAAAAAAAAAAAAAAAAAAAAAAAAAAAAAAAAAAATTACGAATATGCATGTGTGTATGTATGTAAATATATTTCTATGTCCATTTTTTAGTTTTCACAACACTTTTCATAAGCACTTTTTGGGATGACCTCACTAGCAGCGACGACCGGCGTCTGTTGCTGCTTTTCGGCCTGTTTGGCATCACCACCCACTCACCATGCTCTCTTGCACTTTATTTATGCTTTAATTTTTTGTTGTTTTTATTTTTGTATTTTTAGCACGTTTATTGTCGCCGCTCGCTAGTATTGTCTTCTACAATATTTTTGCTGAAAATAAATTTTATTTAACATTTTAACATTCTATTTAGCACATTAGTTATATATTATATTGTTATATTATTGACACGACTATTGTTATTGTTGTCACATTATTTAATGCCGACTTTCATTATCCAGCACTTTAGCAGTGTTATGCTTAATTCATCTCTGCATATAATCACTGGCAGAGCGCGCAGCCGACTGCATGCGCTGACTCTAACAGCGCTGCTGTTAAAAATCAATAAAGGACTTTGGCAGCGCTCTCTATTTCTCTAACTTCGTATTGTATCACTCTCACAGCTGTTTGGAGCTCTTCGTAATATTAACGGCCCCTACATACGCCTACAATTACTAAAAATATTTCTCTCATATCTAGCATCTGCTAAAATTCTGTCTGCAACATTTGCATATTACGCTTTGCCAACTGTGTGGTCTAATGAGCCTTCTTTATGCCGCAATAATTTGTAACTATATATGTATGCACTCCAACCTTACTCAGGCTCATCCGTTTCTTATCGCTGACTGCCTTGTGCTCATTTACTTTCATCATAGCTCATCCCTTTCCACGTGCTTATAGGTTCTATTAAGCATGCAGCAATTTTGCTGCTGAGTTAAAGCTCCATTTGTCGGTGTGGTCTGACAGCCGCTTATTGCCGTWAATATATACGAACTCTTATATGTTAATGTGTTTTTTATATAGAAACATTTGTACGGATATGTCTACAACAGTCCCTGCCGAACATTTTACAGGTTGAGATTAGAGGGTTGGAATCTAAGTGTAACTATTATTCTCTTATTTTCTCCAAGAGCAGCAGACTTTGTAAAGAAAAAATATGATATTCTTAGAGCATAGTACGGAGAATAAGAATATCAAAAAAAAAAAAAAAAAAAAAAAAAAAAAAAAAAAAAAAAAAAAAAAAAAAAAAAAAAAAAAAAAAAACATACAAAAAATAATTTTTTGGCCACTGTAGACAAAAGTGTAAAAAAATCGTTAATGTAAACATCCACTAAGTTTTCGATTTAACATGCTTGGCAATCCAGCTTTTCTAAGAGTTTTTCGACGTGGGATAACGGTCGCTGTCAAAATAACAGCTGATGCTATTATTTTAATGTTTTTTCCTGCAGGGCTACCACTCCACACATTTTCAATACCTATGTGTATTCCTAGATGTAAGCCTTCTCTAATATAATTTGACAGTTTGCACAGCTCTATGTAAATAAATTCTCCACTCAAGCACCATTCAGCAATCAATTGTTTGTGAATATTCACAATTATGTTTGCTAAAGCGTGAAATTGTTAGTAATACCTGGATTTTGGTGGCYTCGCTGGTACTGTTAAGCTTCATATGTGAGCACCACTTATGGTTGCAGAGGTGTGCTTTTGGGATTTGACTTGTGCGTTTAATTGTATGCTGATTGTGATTGAAGTCTTAAAGACTAAGCTCTACGAAGTGTACCATATGTAAATTTAGAAATTGTATCCGTCGTACAGCATCAGTTTACATTATGAGGGATTTATTACATTTTATATGAGACGACCCGTACTTTTCCAAAGAAAAAACCCAGAAACTTCAAATTTAATGGCAAACATTTGTCATCTTTCGCAAGAAACTTTATTGCCATTTTTTTTTTTTTTTTTTTTTTGTTGCAGATTTTCTCTTTCAATCCTTTGACCGTGGGTACGTCTCAAATGATCCATTTGTTGAGACCTATTTTCGATCACTCGTTCGAGCATTTCGACTGACAACTAACGAATGACACGTGTGATATTTTACTCAAGACTTGAATCGAAGCGGAAGCCTACAGCAAAAAGTTTAGCGGTGTGATATCACATGGTCTTGCTGATTGGCCCTAAACGTGAAACTAACTGCTCACCAAACTGTTCTTTGTATTAGTGAAAGCTCCGAAATTTTTGTAATGCTTCGAAAATKTGCTAACTTTCAATATTTAAGTGAAAACGTATGTGTTTTCAGTGAAAGCTCGACCACATATTGAAAGCTTTCATAGTGAAGAGTCAGAATTTATTTCAATTTACTTTATTTAGGCATTCATTTCCAATATTATATTTCAACACTTTTAGCAGACTCAGGTATATACATATATAAGTAATAATGTGTGTGATTTTAGAGAAAGCACGAACATATGGTGAAAGCTTTCATAGTGAAAGGTGTAATTTACTTCAACTTGTTTTATTTAGACAAAATGTGTTGAGTATAAGTAAAATATTTTCTACAGGAAGAATATTTACAACGCCAATATCCTTCCATACTAAAAAGCTACTTATTTAAAGGTATTCTAAAGCTTTTACAATTTTAGTTAAGCTTAAATAGCATATTGCACAGCCTTTCAACTAAAATTCATATGGTTAAAGTTATTCGAAGATTATATTGACAAAAGCATCAAAGGTCTTTTTGAAAATTTCCGCAGCTTAACGAGTATTTATTGTTGTAAGCTTTGATGTGCGCTCTTATGGGTTAAGTTTGTAAAGTTTTTGAATTAATATTGTTCAATTATTGGTTTTTGTTCCGTACAGTTGTGACATAATTTTTACACAAAATAAGTTTTGACTGCACGAAAACTAATAGTGAAAGTTCTTTGGTTGAATTATTTTCAAAAATTTGATTTCGTTTTTCCAAGACACTAGAAATTTTTTCTAAAACTTTAAAATTTTTGTTTGTTTAGACACTGGACATTTTTGTAAAGCATGAAAATTAAAACCGCTGAATTCTAACTATTGCAACCAAAGCTCTAAGCACAACCTTTTGGAAGCACAAAAGCTCAGTAGCAGTTTTGTTCYAATTATTGTACGAAAGTTAGAAATRAGTTSGTTGYTATCAATGGAATGTCAACTTTTCTACAATGCAYAGGAAAGCTATAAAATACCAAGTTATRAGCTRAAAGCTTTCACTTTTWAAAAAAAWTTCTCTAAACCAGAAAATATTATTCKGAATATTATTTTACATTCTCTGACGAAAGCTGTGAAATATAAACTTGAAAGTTTTCACTTTTTCAAAAAAATTTCCCGGMACATTTTTAAAGTTTTCGAAAGCTCTGTTAAAAATACRTATATAGTCTGGGAAGTATTTAATATAGTTGTTATCAATGGACTGTCAACTTTTTTACAATGCATAGGAAAGCTATAAAATAYCAAGTTATAAGCTGAAAGCTTTCACTTTTWAAAAAAAWTTCTCTAAACCGGAGAATATTATTCTGAATATTATTTTACATTCTCTGACGAAAGCTGAAAKCTGTGAAATATAAACTTGAAAGTTTTCACTTTTTCAAAAAAATTTCACGGAACATTTTTAAAGTTTTCGAAAGCTCTGTTAAAAATACATATATAGTTTTAGAGGTCTTTAATAATACGAARAGAAGTATTCAAGCTTCGTGTTTAGTTGTTATTTTAGCTAATTTCGTGAATGCACAAAAGCTGCGTAGCAGTTGTATTCCAAATATTGTAAGAAAGTTAAAAATAAGTTCGCTGTTATCAATAATTCATTATCTAAYGAATACGAAAGCTGTAAAAAACAAAGCTGAAAGTTTTTTCACTGAACTAGAGAATTTTATTCTGAATATTCTTTAACATTCTCTGACTAAAACTGAGAGCTGTAAAAYATTAAGTTGAAAGCTTTCACGTTTTCAAAAAATTTCATTGAAAATTTTTAGAGCTTTCGAAAGCTCTGTGCAAAATTAATGTTTCTGGAGTCGTTAATATATGAATAAAAAAGTTAAAGCTTTTTAGGACATTTTCAAAAAATTGCATTGCACATTTTAAAAGCTTTCGAAAGTTTTACCAATAATATAGCTTTCTGGCAGTCTTTACCAATACGAAAAGAAGAATTAAAGCTCATAAGCTAATAGCATTTCTCCTAGTACACGCCGTTGTTACACCATCAACACTACACAACACTTCCTTAGCTGCGGTAATAAAGCGCCACAAAAGTCCAGCCGCATTGCGAAAGCGCAGTGCATAAAAAGCGCGGAGGCAGAATTGAATGTTTGAAGATTTGAAGTTGTTCATGTCGAGTTACTACAAATAAGCGCTTCCGTTGAGCAAGAAATTGCCTTTTTGGACTACTTACACACTTCACTTTTTCTGTATTTGTGAATGTGTATGTGCATATTCGCTTTTCTTTATTACTGCTTTGTTGTTTGTTTCCTTCCACTTTTCGCTTTTTTGAGTTGATAAGCGTTTTTATGTTGCGAGCATTCTCTCAAATCCGTCTTGTAAGACTTGGTGACTGCTGCGGCGTTTCGCTTTATTTATGTTTTCTCTTCGCCGAAGGAAGACCAGTGGGGTGGAGCACACATTTAATGATACAGATTAAGTTATATATATATATGTATGTCTGTATATTTCTAATAAAAGTTGGCAAACATGAAGGCGTGCATAATTGATGCCTTAACTAATATTAGGTTATTTCGTAA